CAGCGCCGCACCGCAGAGCCGCCACTGGCCGCCAGGCGAGGGCTCGGCCCAGCCGCTCTCGACCATCGCCCGGCACGTCGCGTCGTGGAGATGGCGCTCGTTGTTGCGTGCTGGACCGACCGCCTCCGCCGCCTCCGCCGCCTCCGCCGCCCCAGCGGCCGCGCCACCCTGCAGCGCGAGAAGCTCGGGCCGGACGGGAGCCTGCTCGTGCACGAGAGCACCCACGCGGCAGGTGGCCCGGTGCAGCTCGCCCCGGAGCGCGCGCTCCTCCTGCTCGAGAGGGTTGAGTCGGTCGGCCAACTCTCGCTTCGCTCGCGCCGCCGCAGCTCGCGTCTCGCTGCTCGAGCCAGGAGCCCTGGCGGCGGTGGCCGCAGAGGCAGCCTCTGCGCCCGCCTCAGACCGCACGGCGCGGATCCGCTGCAGCTGCTCACGCCACCGGCTGTCCAGGTCGACAACGGCGGTGACCGCGTCGACGCTGGCGCCGCGCCGGCGCTGTGACTCGCGCGCGACGTCCGGATCGCCACCCGCGTCGACTCGAAAGGCATTGAGGTCGAGCATATAATGCGTATTGTATATGCCGTGAATGACCTGGCGCGACGCCTCCCTTGCCCGAGATCGTCGCGGCGTGTGAGCGCCCTCCCAGGCCGCCTGCTGGTCTCGAGCGCGGCTGGCGCACGCCTCGGCCTCCGCCGCACCCCACCGCGTGGCGGAAACGAGCGCCACGGAAGAATTCTTAAGGCGCCTCGGGCCAGTTGAGGGGGGAAACCCAGCCCGCCCCCTAGAGCTCCAGGTAAGGCCCAGGTGTGGCCTAGGGCATCAGAAGCGACCAAGAGGAGTCCAGTCTGAGCCATAGAGCCCATGTCTTTGCCCCCGAAGGTCGCGTTCAAATGCCCGGAACGGACGTCACAGTGGTGTCCGGCCGGCGCGATCACCGAGCTGTGACGCTCAGGGAAGACTGATGAGGTGCTAGTTTCTTTGGCCAGGGCTGGCCTTCCCCCCAGGCTGGATCAGCTGAGCAAGGTTGGGGAGAATCCTATAGTG